TGAGCAACTTGGTAATGTCTTTGAGCAACTTGGTGATGTCACAGAGCAACTTGGTGATGTCTCTGAACAACTTGGTAATGTCACTGAGCAACTTGGTAATGTCACTGAACAACTTAGTGATGTCTCTGAGCAACTTAGTGATGTTACTGAGCAACTTGGTGATGTCACTGAGCAACTTGGTAATGTCACTGAGCAACTTGGTAATGTCACTGAGCAACTTGGTAATGTCACTGAGCAACTTGGTGATGTCACTGAGCAACTTGGTGATGTCACTGAGCAACTTGGTAATGTCACTGAGCAACTTGGTGATGTCACAGAGCAACTTGGTGATGTCTCTGAACAACTTAGTGATGTCTCTGAACAACTTAGTGATGTTACTGAGCAACTTGGTAATGTCACTGAGCAACTTGGTGATGTCACTGAGCAACTTGGTGATATGTCCTGAGCAACTTGGTGATGTCACTGAGCAACTTGGTAATGTCACTGAGCAACTTGGTAATGTCACTGAGCAACTTGGTGATGTCACAGAGCAACTTGATGATGTCACAGAGCAACTTGGTGATGTCTCTGAACAACTTAGAGATGTTACTGAGCAACTTGGTAATGTCACTGAGCAACTTGGTGATGTCACTGAGCAACTTGGTGATATGTCACTGACAACTTGGTGATGTCACTGAGCAACTTGGTAATGTCACTGTGCAACTTGGTGATATGTCACTGAACAACTTGGTGATATGTCACTGAGCAACTTGGTAATGTCACTGAGCAACTTGGTGTTGTCACTGAGCAACTTGGTGATGTCACTGAACAACTTGGTGATATGTCACTGAGTAACTTGGTAATGTCACTGTGCAACTTGGTAATGTCACTGAGCAACTTAGGTAATGTCACTGTGCAACTTGGTAATGTCACTGTGCAACTTGGTGATGTCACTGAGCAACTTGGTGATATGTCACTGAGCAACTTGGTAATGTCACTGAGCAACTTGGTGATATGTCACTGAGCAACTTGGTGATATGTCACTGAGTAACTTGGTAATGTCACTGAGTAACTTGGTAATGTCACTGAGCAGCTTGGTAATGTCACTGAGCAACTTGGTAATGTCACTGAGCAACTTGGTAATGTCACTGTGCAACTTGGTGTTGTCACTGAGCAACTTGGTGATGTCACTGAGCAACTAGGTGATATGTCACTGAGCAACTAGGTGATATGTCACTGAGCAACTTGGTGATATGTCACTGTGCAACTTGGTGATATGTCACTGAGTAACTTGGTAATGTCACTGACAACTTGGTGATATGTCACTGAGTAACTTGGTGATATGTCACTGAGCAACTTGGTGATATGTCACTGAGTAACTTGGTGATATGTCACTGAGCAACTTGGTGATATGTCACTGAGCAACTTGGTGATATGTCACTGAGTAACTTGGTAATGTCACTGAGCAACTTGGTGATATGTCACTGAGTAACTTGGTGATATGTCACTGAGCAACTTGGTGATATGTCACTGAGTAACTTGGTAATGTCACTGAGCAACTTGGTGATATGTCACTGAGTAACTTGGTGATATGTCACTGAGCAACTTGGTGATATGTCACTGAGCAACTTGGCAATGTCACTGAGCAACTTGGCCATGTCACTGATCAACTTGGTGATGTCACTGAGCAACTTACTATTGTCACTGAGCAATTTGTTAATGTCGATAAAAAAATGGTAAGAATTATTTCTTTTTTTCAAATAGTTGATGCAGAGGTGATATTATTCACTAATGATAAGAACCTGTGTAATAAAGCAATATCTTCTGATGTGCAAGCATTTACTAAAGAGGTATGGTAAACGGTTTAATTTTCAGTGTCAGGAAACTAACAACAATAGTGCTTTGTCATTCAAGAAGATCTTCAGTTTTAATAAACAAGTGCCGTATGCCAACTTGTTTTTGATGATCTAATATTTTTCTAAGAATTACATTCAAGAATTGCATTTCCCAGTACTTTGCGGTGTCACATGGGCTGAATGAAAACCACACCCAAATAACAGTTAATTTTAAACACTGGGCTTTATTTTTTCTGTGGGTAACTGTCACTGTCTTGTTTCACTCACTGTCAAGCATTAATAAATCACTGTATTTGCTCTAATAGAAGCGCATACAAGCCAATAGTTACATATACAGTATACTGCATTATCAAAATATGATTTATTTTGACCATAGATACATCTTTGTCATTCACAGCGCATTGTGCTTCTAATAGAGTAATATGGTGCATCATTTTATTATTGGTAAAGTGAACACATCATATAAGCAACGCTATTCAAAATTTATTCTGCAGAGTTTGTTGAAAGGAATTAGAGAGCTGTTTGGAGTGGATATTGTGTCTCCTGTCAGGATTAAGAAGAGTAACACTAATGCTAATCAATCAAAGACATCCACGCAGGATACAAAGTCTGCAAAGCTAAATACAGCACAAACAAAGGAACAAAAACTTAAAGAGTTCGTAAGTTTTACATAACATTTTGTAGATATTTGTATAACTGTTTTGGGGAAATTTCTGTAAGTAGTAAAATAAAATAAATTTTGTGTGATACAAAGTATTGTGAATTTTACAAGTTACAGGTTTTTTTCTAGGAAATAAATGCAAGTGGAAGCGCTGCAATTCAGCGGTGCAACCAAGTGGGGAGATAGGGTTCTCCCTACCAGGGTGTGAAGTTTTTGATAATTCTAAGTTAAAATGGAGCATTCTATGGCTTCCGTAGTGCCAAAATTACTATCAGACAGGTCACAGTTGAAGACTGTGGCCACATGTGATCCCTGGTCAATCAAAATTTGATGGTTGCCAGAGGATCTGCTCCCCAGGGTAAGGGGGTGCATAGCCATGGCATGAGGGCGCTGCGCCCCTGTTCCCTTGTTTAAAAAAATCCCTGAGTTAAGAGTACACCTGGAAGTACTGTTATAGCAGTGCTTGAACATTCCAGGGTTATTTAGACTGGGGTTACAGTGATTTTCGTCAAAGCAGTAAATATACAGTATCATTGTATATACAATAGACTTTGAGTGGTTTACTGTAAAATACTTTATTTTCGCTTGGAATTAATATTCACTAATTTTACTTAAAGAATGATTCAGTGAAAATAAAATCCAGTGAATATACCTTTTTTCCTATATTTGACATTCAACTCATCAAAAACCAGTGAAAGTAAAATTCCATACAAAACAGCCAAAATATCTTTTCAGCGAAAATTAATTCCAGCTAAAATAAAGTATTCTACTGTAATCAATTTACCATTACTAGTATGTTACATCTAGAAACAAAATATTTCTTGCCAATAGTTTCTTGTCCTTGCTTTAATTATAAATATATATATCATAGTTTTGTTTTAGGTATTTTGTAAGAATTTTGGAAAAGATGAAAGAAAAATGAAAATGAAAGCAATATTGTAATGACAATATTAAATTAAAAAAAAACTAAAAAACACGCACGCATTCTGAGTTCTCCCAAAAACATTGAGTCTCTACTTTATAATTGTGGATAACAATATTAGCTTAATTAATATAAAAATTAATATAATGACAAAATTTACATATTGTATTGTCATGCAAATTAGCTGATACATGTATGCTATGCTGTTTTCCTGGGAGGATGCTTAAAAACAAAATTAATCAGAAATACTTTGTTTTGCTGGACCTTACTAAGCAATTTTCTGACCCTCCTGTTCACAGGCGGATGATATACTATGCAAATTGAAGGCGAGGCTACGTGAAGCGTTATCTGTTGTCTTGGAAACAGAGATGAAGAATGCTTTTGGTGACATATGGTAAGATGAACCTGTGTAAAATTAACTATTAATTTGAGTGTTTGCATGCATCAACTGTATTTGGTGTTTTTGTAAAAATTACATGTTCACCAGATTCCTGAAACAGCAACCTTATTATTAGTCATTGTTTGACAAAATTTGAAAATGGGGTCACCTCAGTGTTCGTCCACACCTGTGTTTCAAGCATGCCTGTACCTATTATGTTCAAACTTCACAAAAACACACACGCACATCATATCATACATATACACATGCATTTGTTCCTTGATAGCTGAATGGTGGCCACTTTAATTTTAAAAATGTGTCAAAATTAAGCATTTCTGCCATTTCAGAACAAGATTTTGATCGTGCTTGTACAGATATTCAAACTTGGTAAATACATTGAACATAATAGGAACTTGATGCATGTCATTTTGTTTTCGCATCAGATTCAAAATGACCAACTGACTGGTGGGCATTTTGTTTATACATGTTTGGATGCTTTGCTGAATGAGAGGTTAAAACAAATAAATGACAAAGCCAAAAAACATTAGGATACCTTGTTTTTATTTTCCCAATTTTGTTATTTTCATTTTGAATGCAAATTACATATTTTTAAGGTTTATAATTCAAAAATAAATCAGAATTTTTCATTGACTGCAAGATCTCAAATAATGCCTGAAAGATGCAAATCTGTGGCAAAAATCAAATAATTTTATTCTGAGATTAAATTCTCTTTTCAAAGTGTTGTGACATGTCACTGAGATACTAATCAGAATTGAGTATGTGTGCAGCACATTATGAAGTGCGAAAATACCTGAACATTTTTTTTCTGTTTATTCAACCCCATGCAATTTTTTGACACTGCTATTAGCTTTTTCTTGTTTTTACGTTTGATTTCACGCATAACTCAGGATCTGTAGTGAACAGAAAATGGTCGTCATTTAGTTAAATTGTCATGTAGAAAAAGTGTATTTGCCTTTAACATAAAATAACTTTACTGATTTCTTTTTCATTGCAGGCTGTCAATAGTTCTAATAAAACCCCCATGGACAATGAAAGATCTAATAGATTGTTACAATAAGTGAGTTATTTATCAGCCAACACAGTTAATAACACATTGATAAACGCGAGGGAGTCGTCACCTGTGCATGCGTCAGATGGCCATAACATGTCGTTGTTTACAAACACGTGTCTACCCATGAGCCTTTGCGTTTTTAGCGTGTTTTGTTATTGTTGCCTGGGACTCAATTCCTGCCTGTGTGCAGGTGACGATCCTCCCGCTTTAACAGTCCTTGATATATTCTGCAAAATTTTTAAATTTAAAAATAGCAAAAGTCCTGAAAAATGAAAAAAAATGAATGGTTTACTCTATAATTATATATTATCACATTCATTATGAAAATTCATCATGCGATAAAGCCATGTCATATTTGTATATACAAATGTACCAAAAACTTACATGATTTTGACTTGTCATACATGTGTTATGATTCCTCTTTATTTTGTTTCAGACACTGGATAGCAGTTTTTGGTTTTAATTGTAAAAAGAAACGTTAAAGAATACTTGGAAGTTTTACTGGAACATT